AATATTATTCGGCCCCTTTACTTTCAGTGCAGCAAACTCACTCCAGAAGTTCAGTGAGGATCTTTGAATGATCCAATGTTGTCCTAAATGACTGATGATGATAAATAGAATGCACCGGTGTGTAATCAAGTCTCCGTATAAATGCACCTGCTCTTTGATAGTCTCAGGGTTCTGTTTAAAGCACAGAGAGAACCATGAAGACAAAGGAACACACCAGGCAGGTCCGAGATACTGTTGTGGAGAAGTTTAAAGCCGGATTTGGATACAAATAGATTTCCCAAGCTTTAAACATCTCAAGGAGCACTGTGCAAGCAATTATATTGAAATGGAAGGAGTATCAGACCACTGCAAATCTACCCAGACCCGGCCGTCCCTCCAAACTTTCATCTCAAACAAGGAGAAGTCTGATCAGAGATGCAGCCAAGAGGCCCATGATCACTCTGGATGAACTGCAGATAACAACAGCTGAGGTGGGAGAGTCTGTCCATAGGACAACAATCAGTTGTGCACTGCACAAATCTGGCCTTTATGGAAGAGTGGCAAGAAGAAAGCCATTTCTCAAAGATATCCATAAAAAGTCTCGTTTAAAGTTTGCCACAAGTCACCTGGGAGACACACCAAACATGTGGAAGAAGGTGCTCTGGTCAGATGAAACCAAAATTGAACTTTTTGGCCACAATGCAAAACGATATGTTTGGCGTAAAAGCAACACAGCTCATCACCCTGAACACACCATCCCCACTGTCAAACATGGTGGTGGCAGCATCATGGGTTGGGCCTGCTTATCTTCAGCAGGGACAGGGAAGATGGCTAAAATTGATGGGAAGATGGATGGAGCCAAATACAGGACCATTCTGGAAGAAAACCTGTTGGAGTCTGCAAAAGACCTGAGACTGGGACGGAGATTTATCTTCCAACAGGACAATGATCCAAAACATAAAGCCAAATCTACAATGGAATGGTTCACAAATAGACGTATCCAGGTGTTAGAATGGCCAAGTCAAAGTCCAGACCTGAATCCAATCGAGAATCTGTGGAAAGAGCTGAAGACTGCTGTTCACAAACGCTCTCCATCCAACCTCACAGAGCTCGAGCTGTTTTGCAAGGAAGAATGGGCAAGAATTCCAGTCTCTCGATGTGCAAAACTGATAGAGACATACCCCAAGCGACTTGCAGCTGTAATTGCAGCAAAAGGTGGCGCTACAAAGTATTAGTGCAAGGGGGCCGAATAATATTGCACGCCCCACTTTTCAGTTTTTTATTTGTTAAAAAAGTTTAAATTATCCAATAAATTTCGTTCCACTTCACGATTGTGTCCCACTTGTTGTTGATTCTTGACAAAAAATCTAATTTTTATATCTTTATGTTTGAAGCCTGAAATGTGGCGAAATGTTGAAAGGTTCAAGGGGGCCGAATACTTTTGCAAGGCACTGTACATTATAGGCAGGGAACTCTATGCAGTTAAAAATTATTTGAGCATCCATAGCAGCATGGGGACAAACATCAGGGCTGATAGCGAATGCGACATACACTACCTGTTTGTAAGTACGCAAGATTTATCAATGAGGCCCCAGATGAGAATTTTCAATAAAAACTGATTTAATAAAGACTATATTGTCCCATCCCTAATTACGTTATAAAATCTACCTTTTGTTTTATGTGCAACATCCAGTAGAACAAACCAGTCATCATTGATCTTTCTCGATTCTGTTGTTGTTCTTCTCCTGACTGTCACAGCTGGCTTCACATAGTCATAAAGAGGTTTGGATGTTGGCACAACAGAAGCCCTCACAGCAGCTAACACAAAAGGAGCATTTCCAATCACACACAGTTTTAACAGGGTAAAAAGTAGAAATTCACTTGCCAATACCTTTTGGCTTGACAACAGCCACGCAACGGATTATGTCAAAAAGCACAAACCAATCGTCCTCGCGCTCTCGCGCTCTGATTGGCCGAGGTCTCTTCCCGGACAAACTTGTCACGTCTCGTCTTTTGTCCGCAACAATCATCAGCTCCTGTGCTCTCGTCTCAGTGGATTTTACTTGAGCGAATGTGGCTCTCACATCCGGCAGAGGTTTAACTGGAAGCACTATTGACCATAATCATATATTGTCAGTGACTATTGTGTAAAGCAATAAAGCATTTATAAAAGAAAGTCTATAGAACGCTAATCTTCCATAATTGATGAGATAAGATTACTTTATCGTTCCCAAAGGGATATCTGCTGTGGGATACAGTTTTACACAGATCTGCATGAATAAAAGCACACACAAACAATAGGAAAGTGCAGATGTGCGTTGAAGTCTCTGTCTTCGTTCAATTCATCATTAATTATAATAAATAGTTTGTGGAATTGGACTGTAGTCAACAAAATCCACCTCCTGCATTACACTTTGGTTTGTGTTTCCATTCTGTGGCCATTGTAAACATTTTGGCACAACATAATATATAATTTACAAGGCCTATAATAAATTGTATATTATACATTATCCCTTCTGTTCATTACTCTGTGTTTTCCCGTCTACAGTGGCTTGCAAAAGTATGACCCCTAAACATAGAAGGTCTAGACCTAAATCAAAGCCAAAGGGGGTTTCACATCACAATTTTCTGTAATTTTGTTGTGGTCTTATATAATCCAAAATAAAAAAAATTGTAGTGGGAAACATAACTTCTGCAACAGATCAATTTGCAAGCCACTGTATGGAATTCTAAAAAGATTGCATTTGTATCCCCACAAAATCTAAATAAATAGTTGTATAATATAAAAAGTGTTGAGTGTTGTAATGAAAGAGCATTATGCGTTTGTACCTGTCGGGAGGATCGACTTTGACCTGGGCTCAAACAACACAAACCAAACGTCTTCTCTCTGTGGACGCGGCTGAGACAGTCTTGGTTTTATCACTTTAACTTCAACTTTAGGCTTCGGAATAATCAAAGCAGCAGGAACCACTAGTGAAACCACAGATCACTGGTCAGTGTGTGTATGAGATCTATAAACATGTCTAATGTTACAGGTCATAAATGCAGCACTGTGAAGGTTTGTATTAAAGGGAAACTGCTATCACGGCAACATCCCTCCATCGCTAAGTCAATCCTCCCATCTTTGAAGATTTTTGTTGAGACTCAGAAATAGGCTTTAAACTTAACAATCAATAATGATACCATTTATTCTATTCTATTCTTCTCATAAAATATTGTTTTAAAAAATAAGCCTCATTCCAAATGCAAACATTAAAAATATCTATATTTAGGGCAGGCGTGGACCACAGCTCACTACAGTATAAAGTACATCGAGCTACTTAGACCAGTCATTCCAGATTGTTCTCAGAAGCCTCAAAAGTCCCATTTCAGTTGAAACTTGTGTGTCCAGATAATCACTTTTGAAACGTCTTTGCCGGTTTGAATTCCTCCTGGACAATTGAGGGATTACACCGACCCCATATCTTTTGAATGAGTAAAGCTTCTCACAAAAATTCAAATCAGGAAGTAATTAATGCCCAAAACCCATGATTATTCCTTCTAATCCATGTGTTTTAGATTCCTGTTTTAAGCAACATTGAGCGCTATTTCAAAAGATGGGATGATTATATAGTTGTAATTGTTCCACTTTAGGTTCCAATGACATAAATGTCACTCCAGTCTAATATCTGTTACACATTGATCACTGATATTTCTTTCCAAAACTCCAAATGATGTGACATTTTATATCAAATAACTTAACACAGTACTGCATTTGTGCTTGAAACCTGAAAACGCGACATAACTGTACCTGTTGGTTTAACAGACGGTTTAGATGGAGTTTGTTTTGGTTCAGAAAAGAACAGGACAAACCAATCGTCTGCCATTTGTCTGACAGTAGGAGGAATCCTCTCTTTTTGGACTCTTTTCTCCACTTGGATCTCTTTGACAGAAATCTTTTTCATCTGCGTCATTGAAACTGCTTCTTCAACATAAACCTTTCCATAAGATGCCGCAGCTAACACTGAGAAAGACAGTAGGATTATTTAGAACGAGTGGCCAATTCAGGGTTGACCGATATGGTTATTTCAGGGCAGATACAGATAATTAGTAGTCACCGAGGCCAATAATCAATATATAGAGCTGAGATTAATTAAAAGTGAAAATGTTGAAGCACGGTTCCCACAGGTTTCTTCAAGTCACCTATTATTTATTTTTTTTCATTTAAAGATTCAAGAATGTATTCGCCATTTGCAGTAAAAGGAAAAGCTGTGCAAGACTACCCCAGTGTGCATCAGGATAGCACACACCCAAGCTCTTGCCACAGCGCCATATTTCCGGCACCAGGCCTACATCGTAGTGTTGTCGCAAAGTTCGTATGCAGGGCAGAGTGCTTTTCTTCTTTTTGCACTCTTTATTTAGGCTAGGTTATCTAATCCAAATAAAAGTGAATTGTAATCCTGAAACTTTAGGGAATTCGATGTGATTTTATCCACATGAAAAGCCCTATTGTTCAACTTATTTTTTAACCAAACAAACCAAACTTAACAAGACTAATCAGACAGTGCTTCGTGTAGCACTGTAGACAAATACATATGTGTTTAGTTACGGTTTTTCATTGTTGTTTTGACCAGTAGATTGGACGAGACAAAAAATGTGATTCATGATAATAAAGGGTAAAACTCCAGATTCAGTGATGATAACAACACCAGCCGATAATCGGTCGACCCCTATAAGACAGTATACCAAGAGCGCATTGCAACAAGCTCTACCTGGTGGTCTGTAAGGAGATGCTTTGGCAGCGACATCAAGCAAAAGAAACCAGTCGTCCTCTCTTTGTGAGGCTGGTGCACGGGCTTTGATCTGAGACACTTCCTTCTTCACTATTACGATCCTCTCCACAACCATCTCTGAATACACCATTGTCAAAGAAGTAGCTGTCTTTTCCTTGTCGTCACCAGGCATGTCTATTGTAGCTACTGATCAACAATAAGATGGTGCAGTTAAAGTTTTTACAAATGGAACAATTAAAGCAAAGTTTGCAGACGGGAAATACCTGTTTTCGTGCCTCGCTTTACTTCAGGAGACTGATCAAACAGAACAAACCACTCGTCTTCTGTCCTCTTCACCGCTGCTTTGGTTTGAACTGTCATTTTAGCACTTTGAACTACTTTTTCAATCAGTGTATCTTCTGGGACTTCAGCAAAAACTTCTCGCTCTTTTATCTCAAATATAATAGGAGCTAATAAAGGAAAACACCCATGGTTTAAACAATGCCATCTTCAAATATCAATCCATGATACATCACGGATTGATTGCAAAGGCAGAGGTTTTGAAAGACCTCTTGTGAGCAAAGCAAAAGTAGTTTGAGCAATAAAACTATTGCGTGTACCTGGCTGTTTACGTAGCAACACTCGAGGAACAACATCAAACAAGAGAAACCAGTCGTCTTCCATCCTCTCCACCACTGCTTCGTTTCGAACAGTGACTTTGCTATCGTTGACTTTTTCAATAGTTTTAAGTCCCGGAAGTTCAGTCATGATAACCTCTCTTTCTTCCATCTCAACCACAGTAGAAGCTAATACAAAGAAAACATCCATGCTTAAAACAAAGCAGTATTAAAAATGGTTTGCTATTGATTGATGCAGTTTGTACCTGGCTGTTTACGTGGCACAACTCTGGGAACAATGTCAAACAAGAGAAACCAGTCGTCAGCTCTCAGAACCAGGGGCACTGGAGCTGGAGGTGTTGGTTCGAGCCTCTTCAGGGCTCCAGATTTCAGCTTTTCAGATACAGCGTCCTCGGTCTCCAAAATAAATGGCTTTGATCTGACATTATCTGCATAGGTTTGCACGTTTTCCACAGAGACGCCCACTACTCGCAAAAAACAATGCACATGTTTTAAAATGTATGAGAGATATTATGAGAATAGAGTTGGTCAAAGCTGGGGTACCCGATAACCAACGATTACATTATTCATACAATTATTTCTTACATTGTTAGAATTTACACGGGTTTGGAGAGTTTCTAGCAAAACCCCAGCAGGGGGGGTTGCATCTGTAATCACTGCTCCGGAGCTAAATGTGTCACAGACTTGAATATTCTGGCACCACAAGCGTGATGTAATTTGTAATGACATTTTTCAGTAAAGATCACATACAGTCCAGATGTATCTAGTTTCAGCCTTTACAATATAACATGCGCCCTGTGTCCCTCAGACCATGGCTACAGTGAAAGAGAAAGAAATAAAGTTAGGTACCCCAGCTTTAAAGCAATGCCATACTGTACCTGGCCTGTAAACGGCTGCATAAGGAAGACGATCAAACAGTTTGAACCACACATCTTTATCTTCAAAGCAGACCGGTGGCACACTCCTGCTCGTCCTTGATGCTAAAACTTCAGTTCTTTCCCATATGGATTTGGTCTCCGTTTTCCCTCTTGGCACATCTATTATTTCAGTTACTTCTTCCACTATTGTTACCCTTTTCTTTGTCCTCGTCTGCACCTGATATGTCACGACAGCAGTGGTGCCAACATCGGAGAGGCCCTGTCCCTTCTCCACTTCCTCGCTCCACTGCTTTTCTATTTCTCCCAGTTTCTCTCTCAAATCACCCATGACTTGGCTCTGATCTATATTCTCTGGGAGATTCTGCTGCGGTGTAGCCTCCTCTTCCTCAGACAGCAGCCCTTTGAGAAATACCCTCTTTATTTCATCTTCCAAATCATCCTTGCCCCCGCTCTCTGATGTTCTCCTAAAAGTTTGGACTTGTATGTCTAATGCTTGCTGCTCCTCCTTAAGCCGAGCCACCTCTTCCTTTCCCAGCTCCTCCTCGATGACCTCCTGGAGCCTTTCCTGAAGCTCGTCCACTAGTTGGAGTCTATCCTCTAAATCTCGAACTTCTTTGAGGCGTCTTTCTAAAACACTAACTTCCCCCAAAGAGCCCACAAAGGTCATGGTTTCTTGCATGGTTTCAGTGACCTCCTCAGAGCTCACTTCTACAGATAACTTTTCCCTCTGCTGGAGCAGGGCTAGAAGAGAAGTTGTGGGGAGGAGATTATGAAGTGCTTTGTGCAATGAACTAAAATGTGCTTCCACAAACTTACACAAAAAACTTCCTCCTCTCAACACACTACTGCGATCAAAGTACAAGAACCAGTCGTCTGCTTGTTTTGGCACAGGTTGAAACAGTCTTTCTAGAGAGCTCATCTTAGATGAGTTTAGTTCCACTAGCAAATTCACATAAAAGATTTAGTTACCAATTAAATACAATTTCCTCCAGATGCTACAATAAAAAGAGCCTTTGAGAATACCTGATTGCTTAACTACAGCAAAGGCTGGTGTGACAGGAAAAGGAGGGTGTCGATGGAGCAGAACAGACCACTCATCCTTCACGGGGTCTGTCTGCAGCAGCTCAGGCCACGGCCAACTGACTTCAAGTTCAAGGTCAGTCTGAGCACACTGCTCTGTGACTGTGGACAAATCAAGTCATCAAGACATTATGCAAAAAGCCCGCTGAAACAGGGAAGCCTACACAGTGGTTAGAGCATCCTTACCAGACTAATGAATGGATGTTATAGCAACATAGTGAGTGTTAGTTCAACACACACAAGCAGAGCGATGTAAAGCATCAGCAGTTTTCCAAAGCCTCATGTTCAACTTCACATGGGAAGCATCAGCAGGACAAAGACTGCCCGAAACTACAACTTCATAAACACGTTAAACAGCAAGCACAACGTTAAAACAACAGCCATGTGAGACCTTAGTCCACATTCAAAAGATGATGTAGGGTTTATGTTGCAAACAAACAAAAAGCTCAAGCATTGAAGCCAAGGAAGACAAACAGCTCAGCAACGACTGTTATAAGACCAAACAAAGTGGCACATGGTGTAAGTTTGTCAGTCTGCTTTAAAGCTCCACACAGCCTCAGTACCTGAGGGTCCAGGACACTGGACCCTGGTGGTCTGCAGAAATTCGAACCAGTCATCAACCTCACACCTGGCTGATGAGCAGAGTTTCAAAAATGAAGCTTTGTGCTTTCTAAAGGAAGAGTCACTTGTATCCGCAGGCAGCACATACCTCCATCCAGGTTGCGGGAAAGCCTCTTGCTGGCAGAGCGAGTGAAGCGAGGTGCTGGTCGGTCGATCATGGAGCTGGCCTGACGCGACTGAGTCTGAGTGCGTCCACTGTAACGGAACTTTGAGCCCAACACGAGGAAGCGCCGAGAGGACGGAGGCTCCACAGTCGAAACTCTGAGGAAAGAACACAAGGGTTTAATTTATTTTTACTGCGTGAACACAACACAACAAACAGTACAGTCATAGCTAAGCCAATTATCTTAACCACAGGTCTGAATACCTGGATGTGAACCACAGAAAGAAGGAGCTTTACCTGAAGAAGGTGTGATGCTCCACACAGACTTTCCACAGTTTCTTTGAGGCTTTGTAGTTTGGCAGTTTGAAGCCGATGGTGCTCTCGTACTGTTCTTGCTGCAAGAAAACAAGACAAAGGGACATTATTATATAAATATTAGAAGAAAAAATAAAAACTATTGTCGGACTACACTATAGTACACTATATAAAATAAACAATGTATTAACATCCATCTAACTAATTCCTCAATTTCATATGCAGGTATTTTTGGCCTCTGTCACAATAAGGCAGCATATTGGGGCCAGATTTTACTTTTACACGTCTCTGCCAGGACAAACAAAATATATTATATAGAACAACATCTTTAAATGAGCAAAGTTGCTGTACCTCTGATGCCCTGATCTTGATGAAGAAGCTGCTTCGTTTGTAAGAGATCTTGAGCACTTTGGGCCACGGGAATCTGTTAATCCTGAGCTTGTCTTTGTAAACCATGAGTCCACCGGCACAAACTCCAAGTGTGATGTCGATGCCTTCCAGATCCTAAAACGAGACACAAAAAAGGGACATTTGAATTGGTCATGCTGCACTGAGTTGTCTGCTCTCACCACATGCTTCTATCTGCAAAATGCTATGACAGTCTATTGCACACATAGCTCCATATTATACATTTAGTACAAGTGAAAGCTCAGAATTGATTTAAAACGAGAAAGCTGAGCACTTCCCCATCCCAGACGCCGTATAGACCACAGTGAGAAACTAGCTGATTTTTAAAGCTGATTGAAAAAACGCTGCAAAATCATCACAGATTCAGAAAATAAAACGAGGAAAGAAGTCAGAAAAATCACACAGAATGTTGCTGTGGCGGTGGTTCGAGAATGTACATGCATGAAAAGTTTTTAAAGCTTTGAGTGAGTGAATGATAAGGTGAAATCATCTGTAACTTGGTCGAAAGGTCATATTCTAGGTCCCCAACATGAAAAGGATAAATGCAATAGCAGAGTAAAGCCACCAGGGGGAAGACACTTTCATTACCATAGGAGCAATGTGATTCTGTTTCAAATGGATGAGATTATATAATGTGTGTGACTAAATATAAAAACACAAATAAAAACCTCCAAATGAAAGGCTACCTTTGCTTGGTGAAGGTCCACTCCATACATGGCGAGTTTCTTGGCGTTTTCTAAATACAACAAGTCTGCTTGTGCTGGACTCATTGACCTGAAATGGAGTTATATTTAGATGAGAATGTGACAGTAACAACAAAAGGATCATGGCACTTTTGAGAAACATGATTCTGGGATAAAGAACAATGCATGCAGAATATGTGCAGAATTCACCCTCACAATTTGTATTTGTATTGTATATTTTGTTTTTCATTCAGGTTAAAAACCTTATGTTTCAAGATTAATCAAGGATGTGTCTTCAAACCTGTGACGTATTCTCGATTACATAAAACCAATTCCAAACTGATAAAAAAGAAGGAATGATTTTCATCCTGATAAATCACCATCAGCCATCACCACAAACGAGAGCTTGACCAGAGTTCCTCCTTAACAATGTTTTAAAGTCAATCTTTGTCTTTTCTTTGCCGTTTTATGGGGATTCCGATCTGCATCATTATAAAAACTATAAAAACTTGTATATGTGTGGAAAGGTGATACAGAGTCTGTTCATTAGTGTGAAATGGACTTCAAACATTAAGTATAGTGACGCCCTCACCTGTATGTGCGGTGCAGCTCGATGACCTTGTCTTCCAGCTCCTTGGTCTGTCCTGGAGCCAGGTTCAGGTCCTTGACGTAGTCCGTCCCATGCACCTCGGGGTCGTACTCTCCGAGCTCAGACTGAGCCGTGTAGGAGCCCAGTAAAGACAGCGTGACAAAGGAGCAGGGCAGGATTCCACGCAGGATGTCCTTCCTCAGCTGCAGACAGAGACAGTACCTGCACAACACACAACCATCAGTCTCACGGTTTTAGTAAAATCCTGTCTTTTTATGCCACTATTTTTAATTTGGTGCCACTAATACTCGAACTAACAAATGTCTGGAGCATCGTCTCATGTGGAATGAATACTCATCAGTGCAGCTGTTGTTATGGACATAAGACAAACGTGGCACTTTTGCCTGGTATGAAACCAGGTGTTTGTAAATGATGCAAAGATAGTCCAGACTACGTTTGTACCTTTTACCATTTGTTTTGCATCATTTGGTATTTTCAACATATCATCTCAATTAAGAAGTCTAGTATTTTAAGCTTAGTGATGAAACGTTGGAGCTGAAATTGCTATTAAAAATGTCTCTCGCACTCAAAAAACACACTTTAATTAAATTACTGTAGATAAACAGCATATCCTTTACTTTCAGCATGTTGTGGTCTGATTGTGGACACACATTCACATTTGGGACAAACAAAATATGTCATCTCTGAAATAAAATGATAAGTAGCATTCATCATCATATAAATACAAGTACATATCCAAAAGCATGTCCAATCTTAGCTTGGGCTTTTCTCATCCAATATTATTGAATTATTCTGCCAGTCTTGTCCCTGTAGAAATATTTTCTGTAGTTACATGAGGCAAACATGGGACTGAGACCCTCCAATAGTTGTTCCTGAGTTTACTTGGATTTAGAATAAGCAGTTCTCAGATTCCCCCTCCTCCCATGTGAACAAGGAGGACAGAGCAGCACTTACCGGGTCAGATCCTCCGTGAGCTGAGCTGGGTCCGGCGGGTAGAATTTCACGTTGAATGTAAACTCATAGATGCCACCAGTGGCCTGTTTTCGGAGCTCTTTTGTGAGGTCCACCCACGTCTAAAGCAAAGAAAGTTAATTTAGACATTGATCAGGATACATTCCGTCCCCTAAGGTTCTATTTATGTTCAGGGTTTTTGTCTGAGATGTATAAAGTTTTGAGCCCCCATTGAAAACTGCAGATTGAACCGTCTGTTTCTACCGATAAAATCCCCAAAGATAACGATTTTAGACGTTACATATTGCCCATAAGATTGGAACAAGAATATGACAGTTCAACAAAAATGTTAGCGACCACTTAACATAAATACGGATGGGTGATATATATCCGTATTGACTGATATTTGCCATATCATTGTATAATTTGTCGGCCTAATTTTTGAAAATCAAAGACAAAATGCAATAATTATCTTAACCCCACAAAAAACAGCCATAATCTGACATGTTTTGTATAAGGAAAGGTAGCTCTTAATTAATGTGATTGCAGAGTTCAGTATCGGCTTCAACATATATATCAGCTAAACAAAAAAGAAAAAGGCTTCAGAGATTCAGACTCAGATTCATTTCATGACGATCCCACTAACGTAGTGAAGGCCAGGTGTGGTGTCCTTTACCTTACTAGATGAAGATTCCCAGTGCGCAAGGCCAAAGTAATCCTTTTCCAATAGATTGAGGTGGTCACACACTTTAGTGAATAGCTCCAGAGCTTTGGCATGTTTCTGCACACACAAATATGTTAAAGATGAAACATTATGCATTATTTATATTCATATTGTTCCTTAAAAAGGGGCCTAATCCAATTTTGTTTTCTATAACATGATTATCTATGCCCCTGTAGCTCTTTATTAAATACACGGTTCATATGTAATGTTTAGATTGAGATAAAACATTGTTATAGAACAATGTTATGGATAAGCAGGGGTATAATGCATAGATAAAAACCATAACGCATAACAAACACATCTGCCCAGTGGTAGAAGTGGAACACTACACTCTGGAGAAATAACTCACATTTGATATCAGTTCTTGAAACCCTTTTGTTTCTCATGTCAGAAAACCGCTCTGTTTACGAGGTGTCATAGTTTGAGAACAATACAGTAATTGTGCGGCAGTAGTTCAGCCACAAGTTCCATAGTTATAATCATGGATAGATCTATAAACAATTCTAGGCTTTTTTTTGGTGAGAAAACTATATTGTAACATGGTTAAAAACTCAAAAATACAATTTCATTAACATGAATAATTAAGAGTTGACAAAACCTTACAAATTGCAACAGCTAGGTCTATTTTAGTACGATAAAATTTAAGTTTCACCCCTTCTTGAGCAAATTCTTCCCATTTGTAGCTCGAGGACTAACACTTTTGGATAAGATCCTAAACTATCACACCACAAAAGAAAATGAGCCAATAAGCTCTCAGGATGTTGTGGTCTCATTGTAACTATATGCATTTTTACGTAACCCAATTTTTGTGGCATTGTATTAAGCACAGGGTAATGGGTGATCGCACTTACATCCAGCTCACACTCAAACAGAGCGTCATCCAGGAGCGTGACTTTGCACTGCATTGTTTTCTGTTTGCCTTTGGGGGCTTTTGTGTCTTCTGTTTTCTTCTCTTTCTTGGCCTCGGATTTGGTCTTCTTCTCTCCCTTTGATGTTTTGTCTTCAGATTTTGTGGAGGTTTCGTTCTTTTCGTCCTCTTTCACTTCCTCTGCCTCTGGCTCCTTCTTTACTTCTGGATCTTCTTTGATTTCCTCTTGATTTTGCTAAACAAAAGAATATGTACATTGAGGAAAGGTTAGGTGATCATCATTTACTTACTAACTTCTAATAAACCAGTGCTCATATTTTTATACAAAATGCTCTTATTCAATCTACATCTGACATCCAGTTCCTAACGGTCAATTTCCTTATATGGGCATTTTTTCCGACTGTGTTAGCTTCATGCTGTTACAGGGACAGATGTGTTGCTAAGATGGTTGATAAGGCAAGCTGGAGTTTCCCCCGTGAATCAAGGCACCTGATTGGTCAATCCTTGTAAGGCTCAAGACAATATAAAAATATAAACATCAGGATGGAGTGTGGCACAAACGGTTACTGAGCTAGGAGTTTACTCTTCAATGTAAGACAAAGATTGTAAAAAGATTTTTGAAAAGTGAAAAAAACTGCCCCAATTGAACCTGATTTGGCCCAGTTAAAGTGAACCAGCCGAAGAATGTGAACGCGCTCTGAGTGTAAGAGAATGTTGTAGTACAGTTGTTTTAGTGTGTATTTTCTTTTGTCTGCACATCTCACCTCTGCACTTCCGACCGATCGCTGGTCCGCCGCCGCCTCCACGTCTTGTTCCGTTTTGAGTTCCGGTTCCGGGTCTGCGATGGGCGCTTTGACCTTCTCTATGACCGCCGCCTTTTTACCCTTCTTCCCTTTGTCTTTTTTCTTGGCTTTTTCCTCCTCTTTCTTTGGTTTGTCCGGTTTCTGATCCGGCTTCTTCACCTTTTTAGACGTCTCTTCTTTCTTTGTAGAGTCTTTTGCTGTGTTGTCTTTATTTGCAGATTCCTTGGACGATTCCTTGGACGATTCCTTGGACGATTCCTTGGGCGATTCCTTGGGCGATTCCTTGGGCGATTCCTTGGGCGATTCCTTGGGCGATTCCTTGGGCGATTCCTTGGGCGATTCCTTGGGCGATTCCTCCTTCACTGATTCTGTTGACGCGTCTTCCTTCACAGTTTCGTCCACTAGTTTCTCCTCTGGTTCCTTCTTTACCTTGTCCACTTCACTCTTCTTCGCATCCTCTTTTGGCTTTTCCTCCTCTTTTTTTTTCTCTTCAGATTTTTCCTCTTTCACCTTTTCTTCCTTCTTTTTATCCTCTTTCTTTTTCGCCTCCTTCGCCCTCTCCTCCTCCTTCTTTTTCTTCTCCTGCTCCTTCTTCTTGGCCTTCTCGGCTTCCCTCGCCTTCTCCTCCTCCCGTTTCTTGGCTTTCTCCTCCTCCTTCTTTCGTTCCCTTTCTTCCTTTTCCTTTTTCTTTGCTTCTTTTTTATCGATTTTCACCTCCTTCTTGACATCCGCCTTTTTGGCGTCCTCTTTCGCAGGAGCTTCGGCTTCTGGTTCAGCTTTTTCCTCAGATTTCTCAGCAGTTGGTTCTTCCTTGGCTTCTTCCTTGTCAGTTTTCAATTGTTCCTCCTCTTTTTTAACTTTGGAATCCTCCGTTTTTACTTTTTCATCCTCTTTAACATCTTCCTTTTTCCCCGTTTCGTCTAATTTGGGATCTTTTGCCTCCTCCTTTTTTACTTTTTCTTCTGCTTTTTTATCTTTCACCTCTTCCTTTACCTTTTCATCTGGTTTCTTATCTTTTGCCTCTTCTGTTTTTACCTTTTCATCAGATTTTTTTACTTCCCCTTTCTTGGCTTTATCGTCACCCTTTTTCTTGACTTCTTTTTTCTTTTTCTTGCTGCCTTTCTTCTCAGTTTCCTCCTTCTTGTCTTCCGAGGGTTCTACCTTTTCCTCCTTTTGCGGTTTCACTTCGGCTGCAGCCTCTTGTGATTTCGCCTCCTTGTCGCACTTCTCTTCTTCCGGTTTTTCCTCAACTTTCTCAGTTTTCTCCTCTTTGTCTGCCTTCTCTTCCTTGGCTTTCTCCACCTCGAAGCCCTCTCCCTCCGAACACTGCGATCTCCGCTTGAGGAAGTTGGAGAAAAGCTTTGACAGGCCTTTTCCTGCTGAAGTCCTTGTGCGTGGTTTCAGCTGCTCTTCTTCAGGGGTGACTGCAGCCTCCCCAGCCTCAGGGACCGGATCTTGGGCCTTGGCTGCGGACGTCTCACCCTCCTCTGGGCCTGGGTTCTGCTTGTTCTCTGGTTCCGGGTCGGTGGGACTGGCCGCCTGCTTCCCCTCTGTGTCTGCTTCACTCAGCGCACTGGCCTCTGTAGTCATGGCAGCAACTGGAAGAGACAGAGGTGAAGAAAGGTCAAACTGAGCGACAACCCATGACAGTGTACCGGTGTACGCAAAACTAACAGTGGTAGTGAGTCCACCGAGAATGGGGCTGTGTGCTATGGATGTAACAAGACAATACATCCATGACATAAAAAACAGGATGTTGGGTCCACGATATTGAGAGAAGATACAATTTTGGAGCAAGAAATTACCTAACGCTTGTGTCTCTTGATTTGCCCGAATCGTTGTCTGCCTGAAACCCTAGCAGATTTTTTCAGTCCACTAATCAGCTCCTGTGGGAAGTGCCCAGAGCCAGACCTAAACACGAGGGTAACCGGGATTTCTCTGTCACTGGCCCAACTCTGGAAAATGCTGCCCCTGATCTGCACAGTGAGCACGGTTACAGGCTCACCTTTTCAAATCGAGACTGAAAATCTACTGTGTATTGTATGTATTATAGAGCGCTTTACATGCTTCGTAAAGCGCTCTATAAATTAAAGGTTGATTCCATCATTGATGATTGTGTCAAATTTAGAGCTGACTAAATAGAGAAAATTAAAGGTGATTGATTTTTTTTTTTAGGCATATAAAACTTACAGCGAGTATCATCAACCAGGATCATCCATGAATAAATCATATTCCATCTTTGTTGTCGTGTAAATTGTTGTTTTTTGGGTTAGACACATAGTTTTAGTTCGCCCACTAACTAGTCCACTACTCACATTCCTTTTGTTGCTGACAACCCTAGGCCTGTTTGCATCAAGGTTTGAGGACAGATTGTCAAAGAATATACAGTAAACCTTGGATATGGCATATGGAACCAGTTATTGGATATTGGAAGATGTTTTAAGGAAACTGCATCTGTTTCCGGAGGTCTGCACTTTATAGTTTAGCTTTAATGTTTATCTTCGTGATAATATTGAAAAAAAATTTCACAATTTTGATCATGTACTTGCAACCGAGACACATTAGGAGGGAATTCTGCTTCGCCAACAGATTTATCTGAACATTTTCTTTGTGTCATCAGCACGAATCCAGTTGGGACAGGATTTGGGAGCTTTAAAATTGGGTATGAACAGTCTGATTCATATTTAATGAATTCTAGATGATGATGACGACGATGAAGACAGAAACACCCAAAATAATAAATTACCGTATGAATAAATAAATGCATAAATGTTCAAACTGGCAGATAATTATCAAGATATTGCACAATGGGTTTATAATCTTGTGGGATTTCAATCTCCATGGGTGCCATTTAATTGGTCTTACTGTGGGTCTGCATCTGCGTACTGGCTTCCTCCTTTGTTTGTGCTCTTCACTTTTCTGTTGCTTCAGTTACATGTAATATTGTGACACCGCCCTGACAACATTAGCCTATATAAACGCTGTCAGTGCCACTGGCAAGGAGGATTACGCCGCAGCGGCACGGTCTGAAGTGGCATCAGCCCTGATTTAGCGCTGACCAGTGTGCTCACTCTCTGCCTCCACAATCTTTGTTCTATTTTTACATACTTCTGAAGGGAGGAGATGCTCAGATTCTTCTTTACCTTCATATATCATGGCACTAGCCCAGACAATAGTGAATTGGTGAAGTCAGTACAAAATTGTATCATTAAGTTTGCCCTGCCACCTTCTCACATTCACCGAGCACCATGGAAAAATTATTAAATCAGAATATGTGATCATCAATATAATTCAACTAAGTGTAACATCAACTATACAATACTATATCATTGTTGTATAATATTGTAAAATGATTATGATCAATACAAAACCCATTTAATCACTTAATCACCAGGTGCAAAAGTTGAACACAATGATGCTACCGTTCACAAATGTTCGGGAGTCTGGAGTTTCAGGGTGAGCTCATATTAACACTGATTAAAACTGATGGGCAGTTGGGCCTCATAAATGATGACAACTATGCAGTTTAATAGAATTCATGAACCATTGGCCAAGAAAACAAAACCGAATAAACAAATTCTGGTGAGTAAGTCAGTAATGTTTATTTTACAGACCAAGGTCACCTAAAGCAGTTTACAATGTTCAGATATCATTCCATTCTCTCCACACCGTGATGACGGAAGCGAGACGCCAAACACACTGGCGCATCAAAGCCCCCAATAAACACCATTCACTCACTCACGGGTACCTCAAAACATGCAGAATTTTACAGCCCGAACCAGGAACTACAATAAAATACCTAAATGTACTTGCCATGAAAATCACAAATCAGCGATCCCTCAACTAGTAATATGAACAAAAAACAAATGGAACCAAACTAAATATGGAGAAGCAGTATTTCAGATCTATGCAACAGGAGTCTGGAATTGCTTATGACTGACTTTATATATTAATTTATTTATTAAGGCTGTAATGAACAATTATTTGAATAAATCGATTAGTCGGCTGATTATTCTTTTGATAAATCGATTAGTAGTTTGCATTCCCGAGAAATACAAGAATTTCTAAAACACTTTCGACCAGTAAGTCTATGAAAGACAATTCATCAAAAAAGGATGAATTGTCGATGAATGTAAAAAATGTAAAAAATGTATCAACAGCCCACTATTTACATGATTTCAAGATTCAAGAAAATTTGTCTTGGACTCACAGGCTGCTACATTGAAAATACACATAAATATAAAAATAAAACACAACACAGTAACACAGACACCGCTCTGCTCGATGGCCTGCATTCAGGAGGTTCACAGATATGGGTAGGAACGAGTTCTTATACCGGTTGAGGCATCTTTTCTTATTTTTAGTCGGTTCTCTGCAGCGGCGGCCTGATGGGAGGAGCTCATACTGAGAGCAGAGGACATGAGAGGGGCCTGAGGTGATCAGATACCTCAAAAATCTGTTGCAAAGATGGATGCATTCTAATTTCCATAACCTTAAAGGAACAATATGTAAAAATCTGGACAAAAGTGGTACTGCAGTCAGTCAATATTTTGTAGTCCTCTCCCACTCTCCCTGACTCAGGTTGCCAGATACACACCAAATCCAGCAGCAAACACCGGGAATTATTTTATCAGTTGTTTGTCTGTCTCATTATTTTAATTGGGTACATGTGGTCTTAAATGATTCTTTTTACAATTAAGCTATTATCTGCAAAAATACGTCTTGAACTTCATCTTTTACAGTTTTTAGAGCAATCTGTCATAGAATGTGATAACATGCAATTAAATACAAAATGACTATACCCGGAATCGAACCCGGGTTACTACTTCGTGAGCGCACAGTTTTAACCACTAGACAACCGATTTACGCGATAAAGACTGCTCTGAAGAACGGAGTCAAAGCAGCAAATTTAGCATCACACGTAAACTTTTATCAGCTGTCTCAATTATTCAAAGGCGTCCCCATATAAATCCTCGTTTTAGTCTTTGTTTTGTCATTAATGATTTGAGAGTCATAATATGACCTTTTTTAGTTCTGCGGCCACATGTTATTTTACCTCTGAGATTAGTGAGCTGCGCGGAGTTCTGGCAACCCGATCACAGACTTGCATGACACTTCCTGATTGGCGAAACGGCGGAGGGTAGTACAACAGTAACAACTTTTACGGGTCGTAAAACTAATTTTTATTATCAAATATCTCGGCTGAACTACTGTGATCAGTTAAAGATGAATTCGAAAAGAGCATGATTTAATAACGCCTTTTGAAATATGGGGCCATTTAATGATGACTTGACATGCAAACATTACATACTGCTACTTTAAGTGCTATGTGCACTAATCTGTAGAGTTCTGTTTCTGTTTAAACAGTTACATTCCCAAACCACATAGACGTATACCATATCTTATTACACTCTCAATCACAGCATGATAAAAATAGCTTTTAGTTCCTATATCTAAAAAAGTTCACATTCATGTACATGTTCTCTAGGCAAGGCAAGTTTATTTATATAGCACAATTCATAAACAAGGCAATTCAAAGTGCTGAACACTCTATTAACATAAAGTGATTATATTGTGGTTAATTTGTTCACAACATTTTACAAATCACTTTCTGGTGGGGCAAACCAAATTAAATTAAATTAGCCACGCAAATATGTTTATATTATATTCATTCACCAGAACCATATGTGCCTGGGACAGGTTGAGATAAGCAAGGTTGCCAATCTGCTTCATTAGCCGTTCTGTCCACTGCCAGTCCTTCCCTCACACACCAAATGCATATCAGAGAACTGGTTTATCAGAATTAAAAAAAAAAAAGATTGCAAAAATGATTGCAGTTTATAGAGATTTCAATGGTCACCCATCAAAGATCTGGGTCATGACTTCGTCAAATCAAAGTGATGGACGTTCCACCAGAAAGAACCACTAGGGCCCATGTCCCAGAACAAGGCATAATAAAACATTTCTAAACATCTCTAAAGTATAGATTTTTCTAAGATAGGAGATAAAAGTAACGTCATTACGATTATTACTATAAAGTGCACTTGGTGCACATAATAATAATAATAATAAATTGGTTTTATATAGCGCTTTTCAGGACACTCAAAGACGCTTCACATTTCATTATTAATTCACTCCGTACACAGTGATGATAAACCACTACTGTAGCCACAGCCACCTCTCAGACACCATGCCGCCATACCAGGGATGTGTTTTTTTGTCTATTCATCACAAAAGTGGAAGCACTCTTTGGTTTGCTGCCACACGCTCTGCACGCCTTCAATGAGAGAACATGCATTTAAAGAATTATGTAGGATTTGGTGGTGATTCCATTCCCAACTTATATAATTAAATTGGTATTGCATGGCAGGGCAGTCTGGAAGAAACTAAACCATTTGGTTATGCAATAACCACATAAACAAAAAAAACTGAGGATGCACTAACTAGCCGTGATACATCTGTTATCAGCCAAGATTTTGCAGTTATTTTTAATCATAGGGTGTTGCAGTGTGAGAACCACCATCGACTGATGAAGTTTGGTATTTTACTGAAGATTGTTGACAAGTTTTATGAAAGATCTGAACATGTTT